GGCTGGGGGTGGTGGGAGGGGCCATGGGTGCCCAGCCGGATAGAGGGGCCCAAGGCTCAGCACAGCCCACCCACCCACCCACCCACCCCGGGGGCCCCCGCTGCCACCTCCTGCCCTGCCCACGCCCAGCAGCTCGTTCCAGCGCGCCGACCCCCCCGCCCCGGTCACAGCTCCTCGGCAGCTTCCCCAGGGAAGGCGCCAAACCAGGCAGGAAGGAGACTGTCACGAAGCCTCCCCGAGGCCGGGGCTCTTCCTCCAGCCGCTGAGGGGAAGCGCCTGCACAGCCCAGGTCAGTTGGACAGAGAGGGCTGGTGGCAACATGCTCTTGGCCTCTGCTTCCTGGTGCTCAGAGCTGGGCAGACCACACTGCCAGGCCACCCAGAGACTGACCGCGCCAGCTACCAGGGGCCCCGAGGCCCACGCTCGGGCATCCCAGCTGCAGCAGGGCACCGGCGCAACCTCCAGCAAAGCGGCGCCTGCAGCAGCTGACGCACCAGGACCTGGGCATAGACAACCACAGCTCCTCCCTAGCTGCTGACCTCTGCACACAGGTCCTGCTAACGGCCGCCATGCGGGCAAGGGGCACCAATGCATGGAGACTCCCCCCTCAAAGAGCCTGAGCTCCTCACCGCTTTGCAGGCTCCCACCCTGATTAATAGCTCCCACACCGCACAGCCTCGCGGCCCCAAGTTGTGCTACTGCCTGCCAGCGCGGGTGTCCGCAGGCTGCTCCCCTCCTGCAGCACGGGGCAGCACCCACCTCCGCCGCACAGGAGACCCTCCTCCAGGATCTCCCCAGACCAGTGGGTCACAGGCCGCAGGCACCTGCTGCTGCCCTGGGTTCTCCCTTCCCAGCCCGGGAAGGCAGATCAGCGCAAGGGAAGCCCTGCCAACACAAACAGCTGCAGGAGCCAGCACAAAAGACTCGGGGGCATCTCGCACCAGGGGCAGCTGCAGGGATTCTCCCTGCTCCATACCTCCCCCGGCCTGCACATGCCCTCCTTCACCTGTCACCGTGACAACCCAGAGCTAGCGGCACTGCAAGGAAAAGCCCCCAGGAAACCCTACATGCACCCGGAGCAGCCTTTCGCAGGCAAACCCACGGAGCTGCTCAGCACGCTCCTTGCAATGCAAGCCTGGCGAGGGAGCCCAAGGGCAAGGGGGCAATGCCTTTCCCCGCAGCAAGCCTTGGCCCTCACCATCGCAGCACCAACAAGGAAGTCAGCCATCAAGCAGAGGGGAAAAATGACTCACCAGCGCTTCCCCGCAGCCTCAGCAGGGGGCAGGACAGGACTCTCAACCTGCGCCGGCTCCTGCCCACGCGCGCGCCTGAGCCTCCCGCCCACGCGCGCGCCTGAGCCTCCCGGCACGAAACCGCTCCCGCCCGTGGCTCTCAGGAGCACGAAGAGACTGCAGCAGGAGTGCCGTTGGACTCCCCTGGGGTCTGTGTGCCCACCCACGCTCCGGCACCCTGCAGCCGGGATCCCCAGGCTCTTGGCAGACAGCCCCTCGGGACTGCAGCCGGCGCACGCGTGCTCTCAGCGAGAAGGTGGGAAGCCGAGGCCCCTCCGGCCAAGCGCTCAGGGACAGACGACTCAAGCCAGCCCCAGGACACCTTGCCAAAGGGCCACGCTGTCCTGGGCCCGGCGCGCGGACGAGCGGGCGGGCGGCGGGCGAGCCCCAACATGGAGCCTGTGGGCCAGCCACGGGCACGAAAGGAAGTATCCGAGCGTCCCAACCCACGGCTGCCCTGGAAACGGCGCCCGGGCTCTGCTCAAGTCCTGGGCCCGGCGGCAGGGGCAGCGAGGGGGTGGGGGCACCGGGGCAACCCCCAGGAGCCGACTGACGGTCGGACGACAGAGGCAGCCGGGCCCTGCAGATCCGGCCCGGGGTCTTGCTGGTCGGCCCCGGGGCACCCGCAAACCTGGCCCCAGGGAGGGGCAGCAAGCGGGCGCCGGCGCCTCCATCGTGTGCGTCAGTGACCCGGTTTTGACGGAGGGGGCCTGCCGCGGCCAGGGCC